GCCCTTTAGCTCTTGCTCAGCACTGCTCAGATCCCCTCTGAGGCTTCTCCTCTCCACCCATTGCTGGCTCCTGGTGGACCTGCTGTCCCCCAGCACTCCCAGCTCCTTCTCTGTGGAGCTGCTTCCCAGCAGGTCACCCCTCCCCTGTCCTGGTGCAGGGGGTGGCTCCTCCCCAGGGGCAGGACCCTGCACTTGCCCTGGTTGAGCTTGATGAGGTTACAAGAAAGCCTCAAGGAGGCACCCAAACGTCCTCCCAGTCACCAGGCAGAGCTCCCCCACGTCTCAAGCCCCAGCCCCACGTGAGGGACAGTGGCCAGATCAGAAGGATCCTTCCCAGGAGAAGGGATTTCTGGCCACCCTCCAGCACATGAAGACCAGCTGTGCTGAGGGGCTGCTGTGCCCCAAAGACCCACTGGGTCACCACGGGGGCTGGGGGTGGCAGAAGCACCAGGAGGAGCTGTAGCCAGGTCAGCAAATGGAAGCAGGAACCAGAAGATGCCACCAGTTGTGACATCAAGTGGCAGCAGAGATGGAATCCCCTCCATGAGGAGGTGGAGATGGGACTCACACCCCTCTGAAGAGACCTGGTGGCTCTAGCTGGCACCAGACCCACCTCCAGAAACATCACAGCAGGGTCCTGAGGCACCTGCCCGGGCTGCTGGGGCAGCTCTGTCCTTCCTCCCAGGGCTCCATCCAAGGTACCAACCTGCAGAGGCCACGCTGGGCGTGAGGAGAACACACCCCAGTGTCCCCAGGGTTGGTTTTTCTCTCCTTTTAATAGAAAGGTCCTAGAGTGAGGGGAGCAGGGGCAGCCTAGGGGGAATGTCTCTGGGAATCCACGGCGCCAGGCGAGTGGGGAATGATGTGCAAAGTGCAGGTGTCCCAGCAGCCTTGGCTCAGGACTTCCTGGATTCTTGGGTCTTCTTGATTTCCTGCAAGGAGATGAGGAGAATGAGCATCCACCAGCTCTTTGGGGAACCACTCGGTTTCAGAGCTCTGGGCATCACCAGGGGTGGTCTCCTCAGACCAGCTCCAGGGGACAGAGCCCAGAGTTTACACAGGAGCCTGGAGGGACCAGGCAAGGTGGGACTTGGGGGGTCTTGAGAATGAGCACCCCCCTCCCATGCCCCCCAGGGACCTGGTGTTCTGCCACCAGCACCGTGCTGGATCCAGCAGTCCCAGACTGGTGGGGTTGGGAGGGACCTCTGGGGATCATCTCCTCCCACCCCTGCTCCAGCAGCTCACCCCCAGCAGGGTGCCCAGGGTCACAGCCAGGAGGGTTTGGGATCCAGCCACGAGGAGAGGCAGGAAAGCCCTGCAGGACTCACCTCCAGGAGCACCTCCTTCAGCTCAGAGTAGGCTTTTTCTAGGTCATCATTAATGATGACCAAGTCGAAGAGGCCAGGCTCTTTACCTGGGGAAGGAGAAGAGGACAGGGGAGTTGGAGAAGATGCCTCTTCCCCCTGTCACCTCTGGTGCATGACTCCAGCTCCTGGGGCATTTTGCTGTGATGGTTTCAACCCCAACCACCTCCCACCACAGCAGGGTGCTTAGATCACACTCAGCTCAACTCCAAACCCTGCCAGCGCTCCTTGGAGGACACAAGGCAGATGTTGACCCAAAAAAAAACCACCCCAGCTCCTCAAGGACCAACACATCCCTCCCCTGTCCATCCCTCCCTGGACTTACTCAGCTCCAGGTCCACACGGGCTGCAGCCAAACGCTTCAGTAAACTCTCCTCTGTCTCAGTCTTTCTGTCACGGAGTCTCTTCTCCTAAACCCAACCAGAAACCAGCTACTGAAGACCCCCAAGGTCCAAACTGCAGGCAGGAACCCCCCCCAGATCCCCCTCCCAAGGGATGAGGGGCCTCATTGCCATCCCACACCAAACCAGTGGCCAAGCTGAGGTTGGGGTCAAGATCTCCCACCCAAAACTCAGGTTCTCAGTCTCTTTTTTCCCCCCCCTCTCTCCCTTCCCTGTGGTTGTTTGGGTCACCAGAGGGGTGCAGGATTTCTGGTGCTGCAGAGGACCAGCCTCCCTTGGTTGAACTTTAATTGCTGGGGGTAAATCTCAGCACTAAAATCTCCTTCTCTCCTCACCTACGTTGGCCATGCTGCAAGAGGGTCTAGAACCCAGCACAGGTGAAGACACCAAGGTGTGGAAACTCAACAAGAATGACTCAAAAAAACCCAGAGAGCAGGAAACTCAAGAAGAGTGACTCAAAACCCCCAGAAAACAGGAAGATTTATCCCTGAGGGGACAGATGCTGAGGAGCAGGAGGTAACAACGTGCTCAGAAACGTCCTCCCCACCTCTTCTACAGCCCTGAAGAACCATCCAGGTGGGTCTAGGTGCCTAACAGCAAGGCAGGTGGGTCCTCACCAAGATGTCTATGGAAGGAGGCTGCACGGAGATGTAGATGGGGTTCAGGTCTGTCTTCTTGATGTTCTTCACCCCCTGGATGTCGATGTCAAGGACACAGATCTGGTTCTGGGCCTGCACGGCCTGCACTGCACCTTTACTGGGGGTGAACAGAGAGGGAAGGGCTCAGAGCACCCAGCCACAGCTGGGGGGGTTGGGGTGTCCCCAGCAGGCAGCAGGTCTGCACCCCAGGGGGGCTCCTCTGTGCCCAGACTGTGGCTGGAGAGAAGACAGAGCCTGCTCTGCTCTTGCTCAGCAGTTTTGGGGTGGAGCAGGGACCTTCTGTCTCCTGCCAGCACCACGATGAAGGGGAGAGGATGGACGTGGCACCACAATGTTGATTCTTGCATGCTGTTAAAGCTGCTGCTTCTTCTGCCCCCTGGGGGAACTACTTCTCAGCTCCTACAGCTCTCCCCCCAAAGGCAGCACCACCACCAACCCTCTCCTGGTGCTCTGGGCATCGACTGGCTCCTGCCACAACCAACCCACAGAGAGCCAGAAGCTCTCAGAGCCCTGAGAAAGTGACCTCCAGCCTCTCATTTCAGGTGGCCTCCAAGAAATTCTGGTTTCTGTGGGCAGGACTCGGGGCTGTGCCACTGGCTGGGTGCTTAAATTAAGCCATAAATCATTAGCAGTTCATTATTTTTAGCTGAGCTTTAAGGAGCAGAAAGGATTGGTAAAAACTTTAACTCCTCATAGAAGCATGAGGGGCTCTCTCCATCACAGTCTGTCTAGAGACATCCTGAGGCACCTGCAGAGGACACTCGAGCCTCAAGAGTTCCAGTTCCTGTTTTGTTTGCAAACTGGTCTGTACTGGTGAGGTGGTTTGGGCTCATTTCAGCCCCCACCCTGCACAGCAACATGCAGATGGGGCCAAAGTGAGGGCCCAGGGAGAGATCCCAAACCCACCTGGGTGTGACCCTGCTGTGGGTGAGCTGCTGGAGCAGGGGGTTGGGTGAAATGATCCCCAGAGGTCCCTTCTAGTTCCCACCAGTCTGATCTCCAAAAAATCCTCAAAGCAGCTCATCCAGCTCTTGAAGAAACTGAAGTCTTCCTGAGGAGCATTTCAGGCAAATTTCTCAAGGAAGATTTTCCCTTCCCTCCTTAGCAGGCCCCTCATCCCACTGCCACAATTTTCTCACACTAATTACATATCTGACTTCTAATTAACATTGCAGCTAAATGTTTTATTGACCCTCAGCTCCAACGCCCAGGGCAATGCTATTTTAAAACCCCACCTAACTCCTGAACCCCAGGCAAGGCTGCCACACAATTTATCCACTCTGAGGCAGCCACTTTGCCCAAACAGCACCCATTTTTTTTGTTTCCCAGCAGCCCAGAGTGGGTTTTGTTGCTTCTGCTCCTGGATTCAGAGTATTCAGACCACCAAGGGAGAGTGTGAAGTCTTCATTCTGCCCACGACTCCCTGCCAGCACTTGGAAAATATTAAGGAGCATAAACAGGCTGTGGAAATCATGAGAAGTGTTAAGAAGAGAATCACAGATTGGGTTGGAAGGGACCTTAAAGCTCATCCAGTTCCAACCCCCTGCCATGGGCAGGACACCTCCCACTAGACCAGGCTGCTCCAAGCCCCATCCAGCCTGGCCTGGAGCACCTCCAGGGATGGAGCATCCACAGCTTCCCTCTGCCAGGGTCTCACCACCCTCACACTGAAGAATTTCTTCCTCATTTGCAACCCAAATCTCCCAGTTTGAAGCCATCACCCCTTGTCCCACCACTACAAGCCCCAGTTATGAGGAGCTAACTTGGGGAGTTAATTTTGGGCACCTTAAAAACCTGACAGAGACCCTGCTACCAAAACAAAAGGCAAAAGGCTTTGAGAATCTGCCTGTTTAGGGGAAAAACTCTGTCACCAAGTTAAAATACTCTTTCCTTCCTCATCCTCCCAGCTCCTCCTGGGCTGGGCAGTGTCTGGATCACCCACCTTGTCCCATAGATGTTTCCTGAGAACTCGGCGTGCTCGATGAATTCACCAGCATCAATTTCCTTCTGCATTTCCTCTCTGGTCACAAAGTGGTAATCTGGAGAGGGGAAAAAGAGGAAAAAAACCACCCCAAATCAGCAGCTTTGAAGGGGGAGTTTGTGGTTTAAATGGCACCTGTGGGTGTTTATGATTAGAGGCTAGAATGGGACAAGAGAGAGGGAGAGAGAAAAGGGGACATCAAACTGAAACAGAGTAAAAAGGGATGTTTGATCTTCTGTTAAAATTCTTTTCAGAGTGAAAAGCAGCATCAGGAATTAAGAACAAACCTCGTTTGGTTCTTTCTGAAATATGCAGATCAACCAGAAAAGAGCAAAGCAGCAGGACACACAATTAACCCAAGCCAGATAAAGGCACCTCGTGAGGCAGCTGCATCTCCCCACCTTGCCCAAATCCACCCACCCCACGTCCAGGCATGGACCAGGGGGATGAAACCAAGAGCCCTGCCTTGAAAACCTCAGCCAGCCACAAAGAGCAGCCAGAAGAGGTAACAGGCAGCAGATTCTCTGCCCCCCTCTAACACTTCAGTGCTGAGTTAAATTTTGGGGTTGTTCTGCTGGGTCCATCCCTCTTGGTTACCTTCTCTCACAGGCTGCAGGACAGTGGCCAACAGCTACAGTCTGGTCACCAAGAGAAGGGACAGAAGTGGGGGTGTCTTTAGATGGACAAACACTCTCAAAGATGTCATCCCTCAGGGGTGAGGTTTATGTGGTTTACTCCATCAGGGCTCAGTTTTGGGGCCAGTCTTGTTTAATCTCTTTATTCATGGAAAGATTTCTCTCCTGGCAGAGGGGTGAGGGATTGGCCCAGGCTGCCCAGGGAGGGGCTGGAGTCCCCAGCCCTGGAGGGGTTCAAAAAACATGTGGATGTGGCACTTGGGGACCCAGTTGAGTGCTGGGTTGATGGTTGGACTGGATGATCTTTGGAGGCCTTTTCCAACCTTAATGATTCCATGAGTGAGGAATGTCTCCTGAGGAAATGCACCCTCTAAGCAAACCCAGGACTGACTTCTCTGCTGGGGGGACTCCTTCCTGCACGTGAGAGAAGAACCTAAAGGAAGAGGAATCATGGCCAGATTCAGAGGAGCCAGGCCCAGCTGCACCACACTCACCTTTGCCATTCACCTCTCCGGGTCTGGGCTGCCTGGTGGTGTCTGTAAGGCAAAAACACAGCCTTGTAATTATTAATAGTAATAAAATCAAAGAAATATTAATATTATTAAGTCAGTGTGGGACTTCTTAACCATCCAGGATTTGCCCTGTTGTAGCAGAACGAATCCAGCTCTCCCAGATCTCACATCAAGGATTTTATCTGACCCCAAGTGTTATGAGGACAGTGAAAATATTGTGGTAATGTGCTCAACAGAACTCCAGGGGAAATCAGGGGCCAGAGCTGTGGCCACAGGCCCAGATTCTGAGGGTAACCTTTAAGGTGTCACCCCAAAAAAAAACCCAAGGAAACAAAATGAGGATTGGAAGAGGGAGGAGAACTCCCTGTGCTTGCTGTGCTGGGCTGAGTGTCCCAGGGCTGGGGGAGGACATGGAGCTCCCCAGCCAGGAGCTATTTTCATATTACCTGGGAACCATCCCAAAAAAAAAAATGAAACAAATCCCTTGGCCAGCACTTGGTGAGTGATGTAGAAAAAGGCAACAAAGCCCCAGGCAGGAGGGGCAGCCTCAGGAGATGGCACAAACTGTCTCCCTGACTGACCCTGTAACGAGATGGGCTTCACAAAAACCCTTCAATTTTAAATCCAAGGTTCTGCTGTGTGGCCCCAGAGCTCCTAAAATCCTCCCCAGCTCCCCGGGAAGAGCTGGATTTGGAGCAGAAGGTGGCTGTGGGGGAGCAGCCCCCCAATCCCCCCCCCAGAGACACTCCCGGGAGACGCTGAAGCCGACGAAGTTCTTCTCGTCC